CTCGCCAACTCCAGTGCTGCTCTCTCTCTCTCCAAAGCTCTGGTCATAGCACTGGAGGGACCCTGCTGGAGTCAGGGAGGGAATCAGGTAAGTATTTACACCTTATTCATACAACCCTCGATATAGCAAGCATTTAATCCAAGCAGTAATGGGGGGGGGGGGGGGGGGGGGGGGGGGGGAAAGCTACTGCACAGGTGGTTTTTTTTAAAGACTTTAAAATGTCTCACTGTCATTTCAGGGAAGAAAAGCATGTTTTACCTCCTTGATCCTCTGCTTTTGAAGGCTACTCTGTGCAGCGAGATGGGTCCCTGCAGCCTCTTCTCCCCTATGTCCTGGTGGTGAAATGCCCCTGATGTCATAAAGACTAATGCAGAGCCCATAACACTGCACTGGATGTGAGGACACAGACAGTACACTGCCGAAACACAGGGGAGCATGGTCTGCCAGGAAATTGGCTTGATAAAACTGCTTTTCCTGTCCCCTAGACCTATAACTAAAAGGCAAAAGTTTTTCCCCATTTTGGATAGAATGGGGGGGTTAGAACATCTGATTCACCCTCTCCGTGTGTCCTGTTTGCCATTATCAGTTAAAGTAAAAGAACAATAATCAATATCTTCCAATGGGGACACAAGTTCTGGTGACAACCAGGGATTCCTCCACTTAGGAGGGATTTCCTCACTTCCTGTTTTGTCTATGGCACAGGAAAAGTGGGCAAATCTCCTCATTGGAAAATTGGATGTAAAAAAAAAAAAATGATAGGGGTTATAACCCTCCCTTGCTCTATCAAAGTGAAAATAAAAATGTACCTTTAGTTCTACTTTAACCCTTGCAGCGGTTGCAGTGCAGGGGCAGAGAGGGTTTTTACTTTTCCTAGAGTTGGGATTTAACAAGTATTTAACCCTTGCATTGGGGGATGCCACTGCCAGGGTATTCTTTGATGTGCGAAGACTTGGGTATTGAAAGAGAAATATAGGAATTAAAAAAACATTCATACTCCCTTAGATGGCTGCAGCATCAATCTAATGCTGCATCTGTCCTCTGCCGCCTCTATGACAGAGAACTAAGCAACCATAGACTATTGATTGCTCAGTTCTCAGTCTTAAGTCTGTAGAGAGCTGGTGACTATCAGTCACAGCTCCCTGCTCTGTCCCTCCAGCTCTTACTAGGGGGCAGGTTGTGGAGAGGGCGGGAGCTGCTCGCTGAGAGGCTGAGCCATTCAGCCATCTGGGTGGATCCTGGCATTATTGTCAGGATCCTGCAGAGTCTGGATTGGCTGAGTGGCATAAGCCAACAGAACATTTTAGTCCACTGTCAGCTTAATTTAGGTCACAGGAATGCATAAATACATGCAGTCCTATGACCCATAGAAGTATGGCTAAAAAAACCTTTGTCCATACTTCTCCTTTAGAGCCAATTCACACCTTAGAAACGCAGTCCAGATGAGTTTCTGCATGCATGTTTTTGATGAGTTTTTATGTGTTCCAGTGCGTTTTTGATGTGTTCCAGTGCATTTTGCACCCTTTTTCTTCACCCTAAACAAAGATGTGTGTTCCTGAAAATGCAGCATGTTCTAGTTTTTTTCTGGACCTGGAACTAACCGCACTGCTGTGAACTAAGCCATTGGAACCCATATAACCTACTAACCATGTGTTTTTGATGCAAAAAAAAAAAAAAAAAAAACACACACACACTGAACTGCATGTGGTGTGAACTGACCCTTAACATATCAAACATGCTAGGCCAGTGGGAAAGTAGCCGAACGTTGGACATACAGGCTTTAACCTCTTAATGCCGGCCGCATGCATATATACACAGCCCTCTGAAAACTACCTACTGTGCTGAGAGCGCGCACTCCCTGCACAGCAGTGATCAGTAAGCTCCCGATGCGCATCTGCGATCAGGATCTTTCCAATCATGTGACCACTGTGACAGCCAATCACATAGGTCAAATGACTTGAATCCCTGCCACCACCTCCAGGATTTTAGAACCCTTAAAAGGTCCAGCACCGAAGGGTTAATTACATTTTCGGATCAATGTGTGATTCAATAAAAATGTTGGATTCGGGGAATAATTAAAAAGCCATAACTGTCCCTTCCTATTAATTTGGATCAGATTCAATAAAACCGAGTTGACTGGCCAAGAAGGAGACCCTTTGGTCAGGAATCCAACCATGTTTCGACCAATCGCCATCACACAGTGAAAACAATTGATCATTTATGATCATATCTTCCAATTATCAATCTAAATCCACTTCCCCATGTGCAGCATATTGATCAAATGGGTGATCGACCCAAGTGAACTGGAAAAGAAATGGATCAATGATCGAGGCGTGTAAGGCCACCCTCAGGATGATGCCACGGAAACGATTCCAGGAAATTGTGGAAGTCGCCAGCGGTGGGATCACTATGGAGGGGGTCTGCCTGTCCGTATGGAATGGTTCCCAGTAGTGCCCGGCTGGAGACACCTCGTTGCGTGTGGCGATTCCAGGAATTTGTGGAAGTCGCCAGCGGTGGGATCACTATGGAGGGGGTCTGCCTGTCCGGATGGAATGGCTCCCAGTAGTGCCCGGCTGGCGACACCTCGCTGCGTCTGGCGATTCCAGGAATTTGTGCAAGTCGCCAGCAGTGGGATCACTATGGAGGGGGTCTGCCTGTCCGTATGGAATGGCTCCCAGTAGTGCCCGGCTGGCGACACCTCGCTGCGTCTGGCGATTCCAGGAATTTGTGGAAGTCACCAGCGGTGGGATCACTATGGAGGGGGTCTGCCTGTCCGTATGGAATGGTTCCCAGTAGTGCCCGGCTGGCGATTCCAGGAATTTGTGGAAGTCGCCAGCGGTGGGATCACTATGGAGGGGGTCTGCCTGTCCGTATGGAATGGTTCCCAGTAGTGCCCAGCTGGCGATTCCAGGAATTTGTGGAAGTCGCCAGCGGTGTGGGATCACTATGGAGGGGGTATGCCTGGCTCCCAGTAGTGCCCCGGCTGGCGACACCTCGCTGCGTCTGGCGATTCCAGGAATTTGTGGAAGTCACCAGCGGTGGGATCACTATGGAGGGGTCTGCCTGTCCGTATGGAATGGTTCCCAGTAGTGCCCGGCTGGCGATTCCAGGAATTTGTGGAAGTCGCCAGCGGTGGGATCACTATGGAGGGGGTATGCCTGGCTCCCAGTAGTGCCCGGCTGGCGACACCTCGCTGCGTTCTGGCGATTCCAGGAAATTGTGGAAGTGGCCAGCGGTGGGATCACTATGGAGGGGGTCTTCCTGGCTCCCAGTAGTGCCCGGCTGGCGACACTTCGCTGCGTTTGGCGATTCCAGGACAGATAATGAAGGCGACATGCAGAAAGTTGTGTGGGTCTTAGTATGGAGGAAGTCCCCAGACTTCGGGGGTGACAGTCACTGTTGGCAGTGTCCCCCCTTCTAGTGGCCATGTGGTCACCTCTCCCCCTCACACACACCACGTGACCCCGGCCAGCTCCCGGACCAGCCCCCACCTGCCACCTCTTACCAGGAGGACGGAGCCTCGGACCACCTCGGACACACTCTGCCGGAGCTCCGCCGCGGTGCCGGGCTTGCTGAGCGCTCGGGTGAACTTGCGAGTCTCCGGGTGGGCTGAGTGATGTGAAGACATATCGGCGCAACCACCATGTACAGGGGGCCAGGAGTGTGCGTGCGGGGAGGACTCCCTCCCTCCTGATCCGGACTGTTCATCCGCCACCACCTGCGCCGCTCATGCCGGGAGCCCAGGGCTCTCCTCCTCTACACACAGCCAGGCGCGCGCCGCCGGCCCACACGGAATTCCCGGGGAACGTTCGGATGACGCTCGTTCCCGCTGGGCTTGCACCGCACGGGGCCGCGCATCGCTCTGTGTCAAAATTCTCTTCCCAAGGGGCGTGGTTCGGGAGCGCGCGCGCGCCGCTGACAAGCGCATACTGGAGCTGCCTGCTTGACGTCTCACTTGTTGTGATGACGAAATGGGCAGCTGGGCGAAGCCCCGACCGCCATGTTTATTAAGGGCTGGGGCTGAAATTGCACGTGTATGAAGTGCTGCTAACCAGCGAAGTCGAGCGCGGTGCTGGTAACGGAAGAGCATGGGCGTAGTTACCCGGTGTTTTCACAGGCTGATTATTTTGCTGTATGAGGGCTAGAGGATGGGGCCCAGCTCCTGTGCTCTGGGGCCCACCCCCATCCGGCCCTGTGCTGTGGAGCCAGCCCCTGTGCTCTGGGGCCCGCCTTTATCCGGCCCTGTGCTGTGGGGCCCGCCCCCAGTCAGCCCTGTGCCGTGCTCACACCATGACGTCATGCCTATGGAGGGAGGGCACAGCTGGGAGTCCTCACCTCACACTACTGGAAGCCAGACAGAAGGTGGCTCCAGCAACAGCTCTGTGGTGTGTGGCAATGGCTGGATATCAGCTAAAAATTAGACAAAGTGCACGACTTTAAGTGGAACATCACTCTCAATCAACATCGACTATTTGTACCCACTTCCCTGCCGGGCACTTTCACCCCCTTCCTGCCCAGGCCAATTTTCAGCTTTCAGCACTCTCAGAGCTAGTTCACACTAGATGCAGTTCAGTGCGCTTTTTTCTGCATCAAAAATGCATGCACAGTGTTTTACATGTGTACCATTGGCCCTGGTTCACACCAGTGTGGTCTGCTCCAGTCAGTTCCTGGTGTAGAAAAAAAAGAACGTTGCATTTTTTCTGTACAGAACTGTACTGGAACACAGCAAACTGCACCGGAACGGAGTGTGGTGTAAACTGTATGCAAAAACATATCCAGCGTGCATTTTTGTAGTGTGACACTTTAACCACTTGCCCTGAGGATTTACCCCCCATCCTGACCAGGCCAGTTTTTTTCGTTACAGTGCCGTATTAGTTTAACTGCCTCCCACTCGTAATATAAGGCAATGACGGGCGCAGGGCGGTTCTCTTGTTCTGGGAGGACATCATATGATGTCCTCCCACTCTAACCTCATGTACGCAGCTCTGGGGGGGCGCTGTCCCCCTGGGATACAGTGGATCACCAATCAACGGAAAGAGCCAAATACGTCGGCTCTGTCATGTGATCAGCTGTGTCCAATCACGGCTGTTTGCATATAAATAAGGAAATGTCGGTTATCGGCATTCCTCTCAGCTGACATGTACACAGATTATCAGGGTACTGATGACCAGTGTACCGTGATGATCAGTGTAGCCCCATCAGTGCCACCTGTCAGTGCTCATCAATGTCACCTCCCCGTGCCCATCAATGCCACATATCGGTGCCTACCAGTGCACATCAATGCCACATATCAGTGCCGTTTCAGTGCCACCTATCAATGCCAGTCAGTGCTGCCTATCAGTGCCATATGATGAGTGCTGCCTTTCAGTACCCATCAGTGATGCCTGTCAATGCCTATCAGTGCCACTTACCAGTGCCTCCTCATCAGTGCCGCCTATCAGTGCCCATGAGTGCAGCCTATCAGTGCCCATCACTGCAGCCTCATTAGCGCACATCAGTGAAGAAGGAAAATCATCTATTTACAACATTTTATAACAGAAACTAAGAAAAAACTTTGTTTTTCAAATATTCTGTTGTTTTTGGTTTGTTTAGCAAAAAATAAAAAACCCGGAGGTGATTAAATACCACCAAAAGAAAGCTCTATCTGTCTAAAAAAAAATTATAAAAATTTCATATGGGTACAGTGTTGCATGACCGCGCAATTGTCATTCAAAGTGTGACAGCGCTGAAAGCTGGAAATTGGCCTGGGCAGGAAGGGGGTATAAGTGCCCTGTAGGCTAGTGGTTAACTGACAATTGCATGGTCATTCAACGCTGTACCCAAATTAATTTTGCGTCCTTTTCCTATAAATAGAGCTTTCTTTTGGTGGTATTTGATCAACTGTGTTTTTTTTTTTTGCGCTATAAAAAACCCGGCAATTTGAGAAAATAAAACAAATATTGTTGACTTCTTGCTATTAAACATGTCCAGTAAAAAATTTTAAAAATCAAATTTCATCATAAATTTGGCCAAAATGTATTCTGCTACATGTCTTTGCTAAAACAAAATCCTAATATGTGTAACTTAATTGTTTTACGTGAAATTTATAGCATTTACAAATGGCAGTATATACAGTCAGGTCCATAAATATTGGGACATTGACACATTCTAACATTTGTGGCTCTATACACCACCACAATGGATTTGAAATGAAACAAACAAGATGTGCTTTAACTGCAAACTGTCAGCTTTAATTTGAGGGTATTTACATCCAAATCAGGTGAACGGTGTAGGAATTACAACAGTTTGCATATGTGCCTCCCACTTGTTAAGGGACCAAAAGTAATGGGACAATTGGCTTCTCAGCTGTTCCATGGCCAGGTGTGTGTTATTCCCTCATTATCCCAATTACAATGAGCAGATAAAAGGTCCAGAGTTCATTTCAAGTGTTCTATTTGCATTTGGAATCTGATGCTGTCAACTCTCAAGATGAGATCCAAAGAGCTGTCACTATCAGTGAAGCAAGCCATCATTAGGCTGAAAAAACAAAACAAACCCATCAGAGAGATAGCAAAAACATTAGGCGTGGCCAAAACAACTGTTTGGAACATTCTTAAAAAGAAGGAACGCACCAGTGAGTCTCAGCAACACCAAAAGACCCGGAAGACCACGGAAAACAACTGTGGTGGATGACCGAAGAATTCTTTCCCTGGTGAAGAAAACACCCTTCACAACAGTTGGCCAGATCAAGAACACTCTCCGGGAGGTAGGTGTATGTGTGTCAAAGTCAACAATCAAGAGAAGACTTCACCAGAGTGAATACAGAGGGTTCACCACAAGATGGAAACCATTGGTGAGCCTCAAAAACAGGAAGGCCAGATTAGAGTTTGCCAAACAACATCTAAAAAAGCCTTCACAGTTCTGGAACAACATCCTATGGACAGATGAGACCGAGATCAACTTGTACCAGAGTGATGGGAAGAGAAGAGTATGGAGAAGGAAAGGAACTGCTCATGATCCTAAGCATACCACCTCATCAGTGAAGCATGGTGGTGGTAGTGTCATGGCGTGGGCATGTATGGCTGCCAATGGAACTGGTTCTCTTGTATTTTTTGATGATGTGACTGCTGACAAAAGCAGCAGGATGAATTCTGAAGTGTTTCGGGAATATTATCTGCTCATATTCAGCCAAATGCTTCACAACTCATTGGACGCCACTTCACAGTGCAGATGGACAATGACCCAAAGCATACTGCAAAAGCAACCAAAGAGTTTTTTAAGGGAAAGAAGTGGAATGTTATGCAATGGCCAAGTCAATCACCTGACCTGAATCCGATTGAGCATGCATTTCACTTGCTGAAGACAAAACTGAAGGGAAAATGCCCCAAGAACAAGCAGGAACTGAAGACAGTTGCAGTAGAGGCCTGGCAGAGTATCACCAGGGATGAAACCCAACGTCTGGTGATGTCTATGCGTTCCACACTTCAGGCTGTAATTGACTGCAAAGGATTTGCAACCAAGTATTAAAAAGTGAAAGTTTGATTTATGATTATTATTCTGTCCCATTACTTTTGGTCCCTTAACAAGTGGGAGGCACATATGCAAACTGTTTTAATTCCTACACCGTTCACCTGATTTGGATGTAAATACCCTCAAATTAAAGCTGACAGTTTGCAGTTAAAGCACATCTTGTTTGTTTCATTTCAAATCCATTGTGGTGGTGTATAGAGCCAAAAATGTTAGAATTGTGTCCATGTCCCAATATTTATGGATCTGACTGTATACTGGGATTTTTTTTTTTTTTCATTTTTACTAGTAATGGCGGCGATCAGCGACTTATAGCGTGACTGCGGTGAGCATTCTGACACTGGGGGGGGGAACTGACGACTTGGTGTCACTGACATCCCCAGTTACACCAATACAGTGATCAGTGCTAATAAAAAGCACTGATACTGTACTAATGACACTGGGCAGGAAGGGGTTAACATGTGGGGCAATCAAAGGGTTAACTGTGTGCTGTTTTACACTGCGTGCTGTGTTGGTACTTCATTGTAAGCACAATGCTATGAATGGCTGTTCTCCTCCCCATCGGAGATGCTCGGCAATCACCGGCCGGGACCCGGTGATTGACAGCCAAAGCCACGAATGTCGGCGCGGGTAGGACGCGCATGCGCCCCCTGCCCAGAGCTTCAAAATCACGTATACTGTATATACGTGTTTTGCGCACCTGTGCCGCCCCATAAGCAGTACTTCTGCTATTGGGTGGAGGGGAAGCAGTTACATGACGATTGCACAGTCATGCAACATTGTACCCAAATTGTTTATAATTTTTTTTCACACAAATAGAGCTTTCTTTTGGTAGTATTTAATCACCACTGTTTTTTGTTTATTTTTGTCATTATAAATGAAAAAAGAACAAAAATTTTGAAAAGCAAAAAAAAAGGTTTTCTTTGTTTCTATTATAAAATTTTACAAACAGGTAATTTTTCTTCTTGAATGATAAGGCTGCACTGATAGGCAGCAATGACGGGCACTGATGAGGCAGCACTGGTGGGCAGTGATGAGGAGACACTGATTATGCTGCACTGATGGGTACTGATAGGTAGCAATGATGGGCACTGATAGGCAGCGCTGATGGACACTAACTGGCAGCACTGATGAGCTGTGATTGGCCTTTTTTACCATGTCATGTGATCAGCTGTGTCCAAATGACACCACAATCACAGACAGTGACGGGGTGCGCGTCACTGGACGACGGAGCTGTAGCTTCGGCTTTAGCGTGGTAAATAGGTGGTGCTATTATTAGTAAAAGGATAGGAAAGTATACCATATTGTTTTAAACTTTTTTTTTTTTAATTTCTTCAGTTACTTCCTGGTTTTCCATGCCAAGGCAAATGATGTCATACATGCCAGGAGTCTTCAAAAGGGGAGGGAGGGCTCTCAGCTCAGCCAATGCCTGAGCTAAGGGTAGATTGATTCCAGGAAGTAAATGCTACATGAAAATGTCAGTAATCTTGTTACACATTTGTCTTTTTTCAAAGATCCCCCCACCCAACTGGAATTCAGTCGTTAAAATGGTTAGGTTAGCCATACACATATAATATATAAAATCACTTCTGTGCACAACCCCTGGTCGACTTGGAGAAATATGGATTGCCAAAAAGAAATATACCGTGATCATTCCCACTTTTTCATTTGTAAAGGGGCCCAATCAGTTGTGTACACTCTTGTGTGTTATGTTAATGCATGTTGTGCGACATGTTAACATGTGCTCTATTAAATGGGCTGTGTTGAATAGCCTGCAATGCACAAGAATAGATCGAAAACAGACATGCAGCATTCTACCAAAACACATCACAACAAATGCTAGTGTGTTACTGTGCTTTGTGATACACTACATCAGTGCTACTATGCATTAGTGCATTGGGGTGGCATTCAGAATGAAACTGGGTGTCACTCAACCAGGAAGAGAATCAAAGCTAGATTAACCCCTTGACACCGACCATACGCAAATATGTGGCCTCTCGACGGCTGGGCCTTGACGCTGAGCGGCCGCATATTTGCATACCATTTGAAAACACATATGTGCTGAGAGCACACGCCCTGCGCGCTCCCAGCACGTGTTGGTGTCTCACGGAAAGGTGCTGATCTCCCCTTGTGATCGGGACCTTTTCTGATCATGTGACTGCCATGACAGTGAATCACGGCAGACAAATGACCCTAAAATGCCAGCATGAAGAGGTTAAAGAGCAGTGTGCCTGCAGGTACAGCCAGTACCAGATTAAACTCTGTCGGGGCCCATAGGCAGTTGAAACCTTAGGGCCACCTTGCAGGTTTCTGGAGGTTTCTCATATGTATGCTCTAGTGGGATAGCTTTGAATTAAGTAGTGAGCACATCGGCTGCTACCTGGAGATGACCATCACTACTGTACATTAAACGTATGTAGGATGCATCAACATTTTTTATAAGCTGGCAGATGAAAGAAGATGAGGGACAAACTGGAATGTGAACCTGATGTCTATGGTGTGTGTACTTAAAGTTGTTGTTGGGTACATTCAAATAATACAGTATTTTCTCTATGGCCCCTTTCATACAGGCGTTCTGTATGTCCGTTTTTTTATCTATCCGTTTATGGATGAAAAACGGACACCCATGTATTTCTATGGACTAATGGATGTAAACAGATAACCATCTGTTCACATCCATTAATGTCCGCATCTGTTAACATCCGTTTTTTTTGAACAAAAGAAAACCCTATTTTTCTTCCAAGAATAAAATGAAACAGGCGAAAAACGGACAAAAACGGATGTAAACGGACAAAAACAGATGTAAACTGATGAAAAACGTATATAAACGGAGAGAAAACAGATGATGGAAAACGGATGAAGAAAAGCTGATGTAAACTGATCCTTTTTTTTTTTTTTTAAATGTGACTGAACTGATGAAAAAAACGTAACGAGGCCTATAGAATCTTTAACCACTAGCCTACAGGGCACTTATACCCCCTTCCTGCCCAGGCCAATTTCCAGCTTTCAGCACTGTTGCACTTTGAATGACAATTGCGTGGTCATACAACATTGTACCCATATGAAATTTTTATAATTTTTTTGTGACAGATAGAGCTTTATTTTGGTGGTATTTAAACACCTCTGGGTTTTTTATTTTTTCTTAAACAAACCAAAAACCACTGAAAATTTTGAAAAAAAAAGTTTTTTCTTAGTTTTTGTTATAAAATTTTGTAAATAAGTGATTTGTTTCCTTCAATGATGTGCGCTAATGAGGCTGCACTGATGGACACTGATAGGTGGCACTGATGAGGAGGCACTGGTAGGTGGCACTGATGGGCATTGACAGGCATCACTTATGGGCACTGAAAGGCAGCATTGATACATGGCACTGATAGGCAGCACTGACTGGCACTGGTAGGGGGCACTGACTGGCACTGTTAGGCAGCACTTACTTACAGGTGGCACTGATTGGCATTGATAGGTGGCACTGATTGGCATTGATAGGTGGCACTGACTGCCACTGATGGATGACACTGAAAGGCAGCTCAGATGGGCACTGATATGTGGCATTGATGTGCACTGGTAGGCACTGATATGTGGAACTGATGGGCACTGGCACAAGGCACTGATGAGCACTGACATAAGGCACTGATGGACACTGACAGGTGGCACTGCTGGGGCTACACTGATCATCAGTGCACACTGATGATCAGTGTACATGTCCCCTCCACGGAAAGCCGATTACCGGCTCTCCTCTCGAGCTGTCAGCGTGACAGCTCGAGAGGAGAGAAATGCCGATAACCGGCATTTCCCTGTTTACATGTGATCAGCTATGATTGGACACAGCTGATCACATTACCAAGCCGACATCTTCGGCTCTTTCTGTGATCGGTGATCCACTGTGTCCAAGGGACACAGCGCACCGCTGATCGCTGCGCCGCACGCTCCCTGAGCCGCGCATGCGCACTGAGAATGGGAGGATGTCATAAGACGTCCTCCCAGAACAAGAGAACCACCTTGCGCCTGTCATAATACTATATGGTAGGTGGGAGGTGGCAAAGTGCTTATAAACCCAGGATGCAGACTGCATTCACTGTATCTGGTCTCCCACAGTACACAGAACATGGAAATGCAATTATTTTAGTAAATATAAACTGCTAAATACCTTTTCTCATCAGCAGTATATAGCAGTCTTGTGACTTCCAGTGTTTGGCTGAGCACTGGTTAAAGCTTGTAGTTTTCATTCTCCTCTGACTGTCCTGTGAGGCTGCATGAACCCTGACCGTATGTCTGCACAGCACTGATTGGCCCTGTGCTGATCACATGCAGCCTCCAAAAAGATAAAAACTCTCTAGAGATACACACTAAACTGAGCATGTGCAGAATGACTCCTAGGGCTCTGTACTATCAGCAGATGGATTGGGGACTGTGGAAGAAAGGGAAGATCAGAGAAGATAGGATCAACCAGCCTTTTTACAGATGCGGAGGGTTAATCCTTTAGGTTCCACAGTGAGTATAACAAACATGCTTTACTGAGTTTATGAACACTTTTATGTAAAGTTTTAATTTCTTTGAGTTGATTCAATTTTTAAATCTTTTGTAAACAATTTAAGAAAGCTTCACTGTAACTTTATTTCAACTTTCCGTTAAAGTGAGGGGCCCATAGGCCAGTGCCTACTCTGCCTTTTGGTAATCCAACACTAGGTAGAGCACAGGAAACGAGGCAAGTATTACAATGAGAGCTAAGCTTTTATTTATTATTATTATTATTATTCTTTTTCCAATTTATTGGAAATTTATTGGAGCTGTAAATAAAAAAAATGATTATTATGACCAGTCAGAGGAGTTTTTTTTATACTGTTATAAAATAAGATTGGAAATTTAAAAAAATTAATTGGGCCTTAGGAATGGAAAATAGGGGAAGAATTCTAAAGATTCATGGAACTTTTCAAGTTAACCAGTTTTGCCTAACCCCTCCAACATTTATGCAATGAAAAATGCAGTCAGTAAAATTCTAGAAATGGGAAAACTGACCTACCAGCATAGAGGTGTCCTAAAAATGTCCAGCAATGATGGTCCCCATGGCTGTCTTTGAGTAATCTACAGTAGGTCCCACCACTACTACTGTATGTAAAACTTACAATTTTTCAATAAGAATACCTTGATTTAACAAAAAAAAAAGTTTTTCCAAATTAACATTTTCCAAAACTGTAGACTACAAGGACTAATGCAGGCCATAGACGGGGAGAAAAACGGCAGATTTTTCTTTTAAAAAAACGAAAAATCGGTCGTTCAAGCGGCCGACGTTACCAGCAATGGTAAAAAAAAAAACGGCCGATTTTCATCCCGTCTACAGCCGGCAAAAAAATGTACCTGCAGAGAGCTCTGCTATTTCCTTGACAGTTCTTTGACATTTATAGCGGTTGCAACAATGTATCTATTTGTTTCCATTTAGGATACAGATGTTTTTATTCGGAAACAAATAGATACAATGTTGCAACCGCTGTAAATGTCAAGGAACTGTCAAAGAAATAGCGGAGTAAGCCTTAGCCTAGTGTGTCAAGTACATATTCCTACACTTTACGGTTATGAATCAACCTCCAATGTTCTACTTAATTACATTGTAATCTTTATGTTATAGGTGACATCCCATGATTTATAGATACTGTAACATGACTCAATATGTTGTACTTCTGCAATCCTATTAAAGCCTTATAACCACTGGACCTGAACAGGGAAAACTTTGAAATATGTTTTCAAATTAACGGTTTTAAATAGGGTAAAGAGGTAATACATTGTTTCTGAAATGCAAATAAATCTAAAACTGATCATAAAAGCTCAGAATGTCTTTTGGGCAGTATTGCTTTAGGCAGGAGTAAATGAAGTATTTTCATTTAGGCAACAGCGGAAGAATAAGGAGGCGTGCATTGGTTTCAGTAAAAAAAAAAACAAGAGTGACCAGGAAAGGTTTTCAATCCTGTCCATTTTAACCCTAAAGAATAATTGTTCAGACTATCAGGACTATCCCTTAGACAATGTATTGTCCCCAATGCAGCTTAAGCTGGCCAAAACACAACTTTAAATTGGAACTTTAGTCAAAAAATAAAGTCCTGATAGATCACTTCATGCCGGTCCCTTTTGCAGGTATAATTATGTAAAACATTAAAAACAAGTGCCTATGTTGTATAAAATCCAGTAATACATCATCTCACCCTGCTCTGGGCAGCCTCAGTAGTTCTCTATTCTCAGAACTGTGCAAAAATTCAGAGCCACTAGAGACTGATCTGCTGACAGCCTAAAGATTTACTGCTGCTCAGGGTCTCTAGACTTCAGCAAAATGGCAGCCTTCAGCAAGAAGAAACAGGATCAATGCTGGAGGCAATTTACAGTACAGGCTTACTTTGTTAGCATAATTATTAATGTGGAATGCATGTTCCTTGCTACAGAACATTATTTTTTATCAAGTTGTTATAGGTAAAGTTCCACTTTAATTTTGGCCCATTCCCACTGGTCCTGTTAAAGCCACCTGACTCAATAAAACCTGATTTTAAAAAAATGTAAGTATCTGGCAGAAAAATGACTAAATCCCATTAGACACAGTCACAGCTCGGGTATTCAAGCAGGTACAGCAGCTACATACAATATAATACAATAGCCAGCAGTGCAGATTCCTCCATCTGTGATTTTTAGTGAGGATGGAAGAATCTTTTGATTTTCTCTTGTTCAACCAGCGGACTGACTGAGAGAAATCTAGCCATGTATGGCTAGTGTGACATGGGGTAGTTAGCTCTCATGGTAGATGCTTTGTTTTAGTGAGTCCACAGAAGACAGGGACTATTTTTAAGGGCTTGGTAGCCCACTTTTTTTTTTTTTAAAGAAAAGGTTCACAAACTAATGATTTCTCACACAGGGAATCTTCTCCAACTTCAACAAAAATCCCAACACTGGAAAATGCTGGCTCATAAGCTCACTCAACTTCACTTGAATTACCTCTCCTGGATACTTGGCTATCTAGCCTTTAGACACAGCACCTGCTGTAAGGCCCATGCCTGGCCTTTGGAAGTTCTCCTGACACCCCAATAGGAGCCAACTTGGCTCCTGCAGATGAGAATTCTGTCTCTTGGCTTCTGGCTGGGTCCCCTGACCACTCAATGAGACCTTCCATCTCCCCCACTGGGAGAGGTCTCCAACTGGGAGGCCTTAGCTATTCTCAGATCTGAGTATATAGACACTTCACACCTGTGTACTTCAGATTTACTGTACATTGCAGGTGTCTAGCAAAACCCAGACACAGGATTGAATGTTCTGAAACAGAGCTGCAGAATCCAGAGAAAGACAAATCTACAGATTTCACTACCCAGAAACATTAGTCTGGAATGTCGCATTCACCCTAAATGTGAATCTTGTGTCACATTTTCCCATATTCTCACAGCGACAGGGTCCTGTCACACTAACTAAAGACTAATTAGATTGTTAGATAATCATCTAATATCTAGGGGTGCCTTAATATTGCTTTATCTTCTGGTACAGCTTCTACCTCTATTTACAGCAGGATTTTCATGGGGGGTGTGAACATTTTGAAAAATAGACTGTGCTTTAACTTGAACTTAATGGTTTTCTCTCTAGGATGCATTTCTTGTGCTTTGGGCGACAATGTGCAAAAAATGTGCATATCTGTGACATCTGGTATCACATGACATAATTATTACAGGTACTTACTATATAGTGCTGTCAATTTATGCAGTGCTTTACATATATACTGTACATTCACATCAGTCCTGAACCCTCAAGGGACGTACAATCGAAGGTCCCTAACTCACATTCATAAATACACATACTAGGGCCAATTTAGACAGGAGCCAATTAACCTACCAGCATGTCTTTGGAGTGTGGGAGGAGACCAGAGTACCTGGAGGAGGCCCATGCAGGCACAGGGAGAACATGCAAACTCCAGGCAGGTGGTGCCGTGGTTGGGATTTGAACCAACGACCCTAGTACTGCCCGGCGGAAGTGCTAACCATTTAGCCACTGTGCTGCCTATACATAGTGTGCATAGGGACTTTGTTTGTTTACAGGCATCACCGAAAGTGAAAGAGAATCCCAAAATTTAGATTGTCCTTAGAACAGTAATAGAGGGGAAATTTTCCAATGGGGATAATAATTCTGGTGACTCTGGTGAAAGCCAGGGATTTCCTCACTTTGGAGAGATATCGTTTCTCTTACTGTTTTGGCTATGAGACAGGAAGTGAAGGAAAATCTCCTCAATGGAACACATGACAAAACATTACAGGGGTTATAACCCTCCCTTACTTTATCCAAAAATTAAAAAAAAAAGTTTTGCGTTTTAGTTCTACTTTAATGTGCGCTACCATATACATATAGATGTTAATCTAGTATGAATATCTTCATAAATCGCTGGATGACACAAAAACAACCCATTCTGGTATACTGTTAATTGACTTGCAGATTTACTATGATTTTAATTTTCAAAGGTTGATATTTACATTGTTTCTGATACCTCAAACGCTAAAATAATCTTTGATATTACTATTTTATGGCCATTAAACCTTTCTGTTTTTCTGTACATGTATTTAATTAAGATTTACTGTTCTGAAACAAAGGGCAGTTATGTTACCTTACCCGGCAGTTGCAGGAAGATATGTTTTCTTAAATGAACCAGGAAATTGCGTCTGATGAAAAGTAAAAGTCTAATCTCTGTATTGAGATTCTAGTGTAATCTTTGTATTTCTTGCATCCAAAGTAAACAATAAGGACAAATAACTTAATAGCATTGTGTTCATTTGTATTTGCATGATTGCTCTCATTGTCCAACCTTAAAGATAAATGAACTGAATGTAAGTCTGTAACAGAGCGCTAGTACAGTACATTCTCCTCTAAATACGTCCTTCTTTAAACACATTTTG